TCTTGGGACATCCTATGGACTGCCCCTAACTTGATCTTAGTTCACACTAAATCACAATAGACACTTGAATTTCATCAAGTTCATCACAATACAATCCAAACCCTAGGTTTGATTCTATAAACAATTCGATCAATCATTAACTAGTAATTCGCTACTATTAAGATGATTCATACAACTCATTTATTCATAATGGTAGCCCCTACATATCTATAGATATGTGGCAGCCTCCCATGTGCTAAACCTCATCATGAAAATATTCATTTACATATACATATCATAATACATGAGTCAGAAATGTCCATTTTAACATAATAGCACATTTATACCTCATTTACTCCATATTCATCAATATGGTATAAATTCATGATCAAGTCCATTACTCATCATTCATATCATGTTCAAGCATCTTTATTTATGAAAACATGATTTAAGCATTTAGGTAACCTCATGCATAACCTACAAGTTGTAAGCAACTAGATGTCGTCCTCACCTTAAAGAGCTTTAGACTTCCTTTCACGCTCCAACGACCAAGGCTCGGCCATGGAAGGTTGCGAGCTGACTCCTTGCGTAAAAATGGGTGGGCAGCAGCCTTCTCTCAGTAGCTGGCTCAGCAGCCGGCTCTCAGCAGTTGGCTCCACCCTCCTGTCACGAAACTAAACAGTCCTCTCGAAGAGGTGTTCCTCGGCGAGTTCACTCCCTAACCGTTCAAGGTTCAATTAAGGTTAGTGTCTAACCTTTAAACTCACATATCTAGCATTTCAAGAACATGTTCCCCTCTTGTAAACAGGTAGAATAGTCCCCTCAAACCCACATACGTTCTATGTAAGGAAAAAGGAAAGTTTTGGGTTCAACTCACCTAAAGAGGAGAAGAAATCCTGCTGCAAGTTCGTACTTTCCAGCACAGATTTGGAAGCCTTCCACAACTCCGATCGTCGTGATCTACACCATTCCAGAATCCTCGTTTTGAGATCTTTCTCTGGACACCTCACATGCCTGATTTGAACGAGTGAAGCTCTAGATATGGGCTGAACAATCAACCCTACGCACAATGACGATTTCTGCGAACTGCTCTCTTTTCTTTCTTTCTTTCTTTCTTTCTTTCTTTCTTTCTTTCTTTCTTTCTTTCTTTCTTTCTTTCTTTCTTTCTTTCTTTCTTTCTTTCTTTCTTTCTTTCTTTCTTTCTTTCTTTCTTTCTTTCTTTCTTTCTTTCTTTCTTTCTTTCTTTCTTTCTTTCTTTCTTTCTTTCTTTCTTTCTTTCTTTCTTTCTTTCTTTCTTTCTTTCTTTCTTTCTTTCTGTGCGGCTCTCTTCTCTTAGAAGCCTAGTAAGTCCGAATGGGGGGTATTAAGGCTGTCCCTTAGGCCTCCCAAAAGGTTATTCCTTTTGTGTGGAGTGGGTTGAGTGAGGGGTGGATGATTCTCCACCAAGTCTTACTAAATAAGTATAAATGGGGTCCAACCCTTATCATTTTATTCTCTACACAACCCCACTCCATCATGGTCTGCCCCAAAAGTCAACATACCATATTCTCTTTGTCTTGTAAGTGCCAAGGAGGTGTGGGACGTACCCCCTTCGGTCCAAGTCAGTCCGGAAGGAAAATCCTTACCGATAATTCCTTACGGAGGAAAATTGAGTCTTATTATTTGTGTCTTCGTAATGTGATTTCTCTCCATATAATATCGGGCTCTCATATTAACCAAGATGGCCCACATAAGTATTTGGAAACTCACTCTCGGAACACGGACCCCAACGATAGGTTAACGAACACAAGTTACATCAAACACTACTCGTTTCACACAATGTCAAAGCATGAGTTACATACGATAACACACGTGTTACACACAGCTGGTGATAATAAGTTCAATACATCAATTACGAAACTTTCAAACAGTACATTCAGGTACACACGGGTGCGGTGTCACATTATCTCTCTAGTGATGGAATGCAGAAAGATGGAATGATGTGTTCAACTAGGGACCATAACCCCTCTATTTATAGAGAATGCTTAACCCTGATCAGCCCATCATTAATTAGGTTAAGTCCGTGGGTCTCTACACATTTGGGCCCTATACCTTATTAGATAACTTATTAGCCCACTTAAATTAATATCCATAGGACCACTAATTTTTGGGCTAAATATAAGATAGCATATAACATACAATTAAACCCAATAAATAATATATTGTGAATATTATATGGAGTATAAGACCAATAATCTAACACTTTGCGTATTCTGTTTTTTTTTTTCAAAAACTTTGTCACTTTTCTTTTAAAGTAATGAATTTGTGACTCTATCTATTCGTTTCTCTTTTCTTCGCACAAATCTCAACTATACAGTTTTTTACTTTTCTAATTTCATACTTAATATAAAGTTGCAAAGTTGAGTGAGACAGAGGTAATGAAAAAATAATAGTACCTCCTTGTTTAAAAGGCCTAAGAATGAAATAGATCTGGCTATGTACCTATCTTAAATGCTCAATTTGATCCTTATCCAAAAAAATTCAATTCACACACCTCGAAATTGGTAAACATAGTGGAAATTCATTTTCCGCGTGTAATGTTCTAGTAATAAGGTACATATGATGTTGCAACTTAAGCAAATAAGCTCAAGGACTCATTTGAGTCATTCACAACAGCGCATTTGAGTCTTCCCGCAATTTAAAATGCTTGGAACATTTTGCTTTTTTTTGAAAAGTACTACCTCCGTCCCACTAAGATGGAGACGAGAGAAAATGACACGATTATTAAAAAAAAGTGAGTTTGTGTGGTTGATATTAAATTGATAAAGTAAAAATAAAGTAAAAATGATTTAGAGTCACATAATCTTTACCAAATTTGGTATGAGATAATTTTAGTGGGACTTCCCGAAAAGGCAAAATGGGACAATCTTAGCGGGACGGAAGGAGTATTCATACGGAATATAATAATTTCTAAATATTCATACATTTTCTATTTCTCATCCTTCTATCATAGGTTTTGCATTTTCCTACGTTATTTACTATTCCTACTGATTCCCCTTAAATTCCGTGTCATAAAAGCCTAACTGTAAGCATTCATATACTTCAAACAAGTTAATCACAGGGACCGTCAAATTGGATATACTCTATAATAATAATAATAATAATAATAATAATAATAATAATAATAATAATAATAATAATAATAATAATAATAATAATAATAATAATAATAATAATAATAATAATAATAATAATAATAATAATACGTAACTAATAAGTGTAGGCAACGTGTAAGGACTGAATAACCATTAGTTTGTCGGTACTTAATAATGCAAGAACACTCTAAGCATCCCAGCTACTGTTTTTGGGCCATGGGGGTATGACACATACACCGTACTAAAGAAAAAAATGTTTTATTGATATTGACTTTTAAATTAAGGCTATTTTGAACCGCACAAGTGTGACAAATATAATACGGAGTAGTATTTGATTTTCCTGAATCAAACAAAATGAGAAGTTTTAACAAAGATATTAGAATGGTTAGAGTATTTTAAAATTATGATCATATAGATCATAAGCCTCGTGTTAAGGTTTTATTTGTTTTTACATGCCTGTTCTATACGAATGTTTACAAATTTCAGAAAATCATTATTTCTTTTAAATGAATATTTGTTTCAAAAAAATTATTGCAATGAAATTTATTTACAAAAATATGATTAATAGATGAGAATCGTTATAATATATATATTTATGTCATAATATAATCACTTAAATGTAAAACCTGAACATAAATTCTGTGACTAAAATTACTATTATAGTCATCATTCATATTATTGTAAACAATCTTTATTATTAATGTAATTATATGGTGCCACATATGACTTCATTATTATGGAGTTATATGACTTATGTGGTATCATCATAATCATATATCTATTTTTTTTTTAAATGGGGCCACCAAATATTAGTTCATTAAATAAATACTACCTCCGTCCCCGAAAGAAGTTCCACATTTGACTTTCACACACTTTTATGCAAGTAAACTTACCAGGGGGTAAATTTTACTGTTTTGACACTGTTTGACACTGTTCTGGCATAGATAACTTTCCATTTAAGGAAATGGGAACTTAAATTAGGGACATCCAAATAAGGAAAGTGAGAACTTCTTTCGGGGACGGAGGGAGTAAGTCCATATGTCTCCATAGTGGAATCATATAAGACTTTAGCATAATATTTTCCCTTGTTTTGAATTTTTAATCATATACTCCGTATATAATTTTAATTAATATATTAAATTGTTGTTCGAGTCAGGCGGCCTGACCGGACAGCCCCGTGCGGACTTCCCCGTTTGGGGGTCTTCCCGGTGGATTTTTTATGAAATTTTTTGAGCATGTTCCTCATCAAGTCTAGTTTATCCACACTAAATTTAAGCTCAAAATTCGATTGGGAAAATGCGCAGAATGACGAGTATGTTTCAAGAATTTATTTGACTGCCTTCTCGATTGAATTTTGAGCTTAAATTATCAATATCTTATCATTTCTTCCAGCACACTATTTCTTCATTCCAACACATTATTTCATTATCTTATCATCATACTCTCAATAATTTATATTCTTTTTCACTATTCTTAATATCATCTACTTTTAAACGAGAAGATATAAATGTTAAGTATGTTCGCTAAACTATTTCTCAAATAAATTCGATTTTTATTGAATAATTGTCTAAAAGTGTTACTACCTCCGTCCCCCTAAGTTTGGGACAAGAGAAGGTGACACGGTTATTAATAAAAGTGAGTTTATATGGTTGATATTAAATTGATAGAGTAAGAATAAAGTAGGAATGATTTAGAACCACACAAACTTTACCAAATAAGGTATGTGACAATCTTAGTGGGACGGACCGAAATGGTAATATGTGACAATCATAGCGGGACGGAGGGAGTATAATCGAAAAGGGTGGAGGTAGTGTTATCAAAGTTTGATAATGATAAATGTGTAAAAGTAGGATGTATAATAGTTATAGACGTCAACTGATCACAAGACAAATGTCCAATTTGTGTGGTGAGGGTTTCCCAATCGTTGATCCAAAACTTCAATAATTATTACTTATGTCTCTATATACATTATTGAGTGAGCAATAAAAGAATTGGATCAAGGCAGAATAAACAAAAAAAACCAGCATTCAACAGTACAGTCTGCCGGCCGGAGATCGAGATGGGGGATGAAGAGGAGTGTGAAGCGTCGGAAACCCAGGAATCTGAGGACGGCGGCCTGCGGCGGAAGACGGTGGCGTTGAGGAAGAAGAAGGGCAAGAAGAGCAGCTGTAAGAGGTTCAGCAATGAGCAAGTGAAGTCACTGGAGACCATTTTCAGGCTGGAAACAAAGCTGGAGACGAAGAAGAAGCTGCAAGTGGCCAGAGATTTGGGGCTGCAACCTCGTCAAGTGGCGATATGGTTTCAGAACAAACGGGCGAGGTGGAAATCCAAGCAAGTTGAACATGATTTCAGAGTCCTCAAAGCCAAATTCGACCACCTCATTCTGCAGTTTGATGTCCTTAAGAAAGAAAACGAGGCTTTGCATATGCAGGTATATAACTATATATCACTATAATATATCGTGGTTTCTTTTGAAGAATTTCTCCACCTAATCTGGGACTAGTCTTCTGAAGTTCACTTTTTGGAATGAAATCTCAATTATGCTCAAAGTAGTTATGAGATTCGACCAAAGACAAAAGGAGAAGAGTACTCTGCTTTCGATATCCAAAAATGGCCTCAAGTATAAGTTTAGAATTACCTTCTCGGAGTATTATCTTTAAAACGGTAATCAAAATAGGATTAAATTATGCACACTCTTACGCCCCATTTAATTAAAATAATTACATATTTATGACTAAAATAAAGGTTGTTTATAAAAGTACGATTGATGACTAGAGTATAATGGAATAATAGTAACTTATGTTTAATTTAGAACTTAAGTTTACATAACACTAGAGTGTATTAACTACGCCGTATTAGTCAATATGTGAAGAAGTTTTAGTTTAGTAAGATTATAGAAAAAATCTCTATTCAATATGATTAAAATTAATTGGGTGAATATGATGAAATGATTGAAGTTCAGATTGGGTTTTTTTTAATCGACAAACGGATGGCTTAAATTGATATCCCATCATTCAGCGCAATCAGATAGCGGGGCCAAAACGACAAAAGGACCAATAGCCTTGATGCATATATGGGAAGTTAGGTCACTACATCTATATACTATCCTCCATCTCTTTTTAATAGTGACTACATTTTACACTATTATTTTATGGAAATTATTTTTTAAAAAATATTTTTTTCAATTCATCTCATTACAAAATTTCAAAATCTGATTTTAATATTTTTTATTAATAAAGATTAAGATATACTTACGGTCAAACGTGTGTGTTGGCAAATGTGCAAAGGTTGACTGTTGCAACTAAAAAGAACGGAGGAAGTATTATACAATTGAAATTCACATTGTCACGTGTTATTCTATTATGTACCATTGCCATGGGTCACTTTTTTAACTACTATTAGCCACATGTCAATACTAGACCTGCACAAAAACGGGTTCGGGCCGGGCTCGGGCCGGGCTTTTTATAATTTTTTTGCCCATCATATGTGGGCGGGCCCGGCCCGGCCCGCAAAAACGGGCCTAACCCCATGTCCATACCCGCCCATAAGAGCGGGCCGGGTAGTCCACCGGGCCTCCGGGCCCGGAAAACCTTTATATTTTTTGAATTTCTTTTAATAATTTAAAACTAATATTACAACATTTAAAAAAGTGTTAATATGCATGTAATGTTTATAGGTCTTTCACCACATACAAAAATAATACTTACACAAAAATAATAATGAGAAACTATATCTAAAATTTAAAATTCAAGCACAAAGTATTATCTTTAAGTACAAAAATAGATACTATATTAGTTGGGCTAGTGGTTCAGATCTAAAAACCTAAATTTAAACATAATAAACTATAAATATGTATAAAGATAAATTATATTAGAAAATATAAATGTACATGTAAATAAATAAATTATATATATATATATATTAAATGTAGCGGGCCGGGCTTATCGGCCCGAACGGGCCTACACCCTAACCCAAGCCCGCCCATAAGTTATTGCGGGCCGGGCCCGGCCCGGCCCGGTGGGTAAATATATGTGCCCAAGCCCGCCCATTTGTGCGGGCGGGCTGGGCGGGCTGGGCGGGCCGGCCCGGTTTTGTGCAGGTCTAGTCAATACATAAGTAAAGTTTCATATATACACACATTTATAATAATTATTAGCCTTGATACATATTTGGATTTTTTTTTTATCATCAAAACAAACCGCTTATACTAATATCATTAGGAACCGGGTCGTTACAATAAACTCAAAAAGACCAACCCTGACAACAACTATCTCTAACCAACTATCACTATCAACCCTACGGCTAGACTCAGGGACGATTATCCCTGAAAGAGCAATACGAATCGCTGTCACTGGCCATATAAAATACATATTCTAACGACAATCACTGGCCATATAGATCATTCTAACGACAACAATCAAGCGGAATTGTCAATACATATTCTAACGACAATCACTGGCCATATAGATCATTCTAACGAAAGAATCGCTGGACACATATAAAATACACTTTTAACTTTATATATTATTTTTGAAAACCATCAAGCGGGTGTAACACAACAATCACTGGCCATATAGATCATTCTAACGACATAATATCTAGCAGAATTGTCAATATAATTGTAGACCTACAACTAAAGACATCTAAACCATATTTTATGAAAAAAATAATAACAAACTTATATGGAAAATTAGTTAAAACAAATACTATCATAGTATCATATCTGTCTTCAATTTAAGTTAATCAAATCAAAAATAAAAGAAATTACAACTTTATCTATTTTGATTATTACACAATTTAACATTCGATATAAAAAAATATGTAATTTTTAATATAAAAAAGTCAACTAATACTGCTCCATCCCGCAAAATACTTCTCAGTTTGATTTGGATCGTAGTTTAAGAAAACATGATTAAAATGAAAATGTATAATTGTGATTCACAATTTGTGATTGAGTAAAAAAGAAAAATGAATGATAATCACATAAACTTTTCAAAAAGGGAAATGAAGATTGTTTTAGGAAATCTAAAAAAATAGGTTAGGAATTTTGAGGGAAGGGTGTATATCGAAAATGATTATACCAAACCGGCTTTTAATCAGGGCCGGTTCTGGGGGAGGGCAAGAGGGGCGACCGCCCTAGGCCTGAAAAAAAATAGAAGAAAAAATGGGCCCAATTTTTTTCTTTATGTATAGTGTTAGTAGGCTTCTTTTTTAATTCTTAAGGTCAGTTAATTAGGCCTAATGTTTAATTTTGTTGACAAATTGAAAATTTAAAATGTAAATAAAAAAATTTAAACAGAGCCAAGTTTAAAAAAAGAATATATACATTAATATTAAGTAGAATCAGTTGTAGTTTTTAAAAGCAATACAATTGTTGCTCCCTCAAAAAAAGAATACATACATTAATTTTAAGTAGGATCTGTTGTAGTCTTTATATCTCTTTAGCCTTTAAGGCTTTTTATTCATTTAATTATAACATAACACATTTATATAATTATTTTAGAGCCCATCTCTCTCAAATCTCATCCCAATTATTTATTTGTTTCCAAATTTCAATAAACTATATCTAAGTTCCTAATAGTAGTTTAGAGGATGTCAAATTGGCAGTCTTCTTGCGCGAGTGTTCTTGGCGGTCATACATTTTGTCTCTTTGAAAACCTTCATTCTTTCGAGACTTCATACTTAAGACTCCCATCAACGGTCAATAAATCATTCTCAACTTATGAATTCAATATGTAGTGATATTTTTTTCATATTTCCTTTCAAAAAAAAAGTTTAGTGTTGTTATATGTGGCAATTTTATTGTTTGTCATGTATTAATAGAAAGAAGGCCGCCTATGAGGCGATTATTGATTATTTTCTTCATATTGTTCTACGAGAAATGTTTTTTACTGATGTTTTTTTCTTTTTATCCGATACTTGTGTTGTTACTTTTGCCCAAATGTGTAACTTAAATATTAATAATAATAATAATAATAATAATAATAATAATAATAAAGTGATTTTTAACTTTATTTTATGAACTTCATTGGATATTTTTATTATAATTCTTATTTCAAATAAGTATACAGTCATAGACCCAGAATAGCGTACCGCCCATAGACTCAGAAATGGTCAGGACCGGCCCTGCTTTTAATCAGTCATTTTTCTTTTGTTGTCTTCAACACCAACTTCTCAAATGTCACATATCCCACAATCTCTGCCAGCCTTGCAAGCTTAACATTTGTCTGAAAAGTCACTTGAGTTCAGTTTTCATCGATCTTTTTAGACTGGAGTTGAAACAAATTCGATAATGATACCAAACAAAAATCATATTTTGTACTCCTATTCCAATGTTCTCCACATTAAGTTTGGGCACAACATTTTAGGGTGAAATAATAGGGGTAATGAATTGTGTAGAAAAAGTCGGAGAGAGGGTGGAAAAGTATGAAAGAGAAGATAAAAAGTTGTAAAGTAAGGGGTAGTTAAGTATTTTTAAAGGAAAAAACTTACCAAAAAGCGAAAGTGTAGCAAACTTTTAAATACATCCCAAAAAGGAAAATGTAGCAAACTTTAGAATACAGAGAGAGTATTATGTTTGAGTTTGGTTCAATTAATTTGTTTCAATTTGGATTTGTTATTTTTAATTAAATAATACTTCGAAGGATTTATTGAACTTTTTAGTTTGGTCCGATTTTTCTCAATTTCTATTCACAGTTTCATACAGTTTGAAACAAATGTTATCAAATTACTTATAATTTGGTTGAAGTTTTGTACAGTTCAATTCTATCAAACCGAACTGGTATGTTCCACAGGTAAGAGCATTTCCAATGCTAAAACGTTAATGGTGCATACGTGGCATGAGAAATAACCAATTAAAAAACAATAAATACAATATCTTTCTTCTTCTTTCCACGGTCTTATGGGTTTATGGTAAGTTTTTGTCTGCAATGTCAATCACAATGTCTACATCTAGACATTGTGTTTGACATTGTGAAGAAAAACTTACCAAAATGAGGTAAGATCCTTCAAATAAGGAGAGAGAGATTGTACTTATTGTTTTTTAATTGGTTATTTTCCATGCCACATATGCACCGTTAACGTTTTAGCATTGGAGATGCTCTAAAAGTGTTGTATTAGGTCTCGTTTTGGATTAATTTAAGGAAAAAGGGTCATATAAGATCTTCTACTACTACTAAATCATCATATAGGATCATGTACTCAATAAAGTGTCATATAAATACATCTACTTATAAAAAGTTTTCAAATGAATCCTAACGATCCGTTGACAACCTCCTTAACCGTTAAATACATCTACTTACATGTCGTTATTTTTATTTTGTATTTAAGCCAATCATGACTAAATAGTCCATGTCAGTCTTATAATCTATTTTGAAAAGGTAGCTAGAGGTATGCTAAAGCCGGAATTACAAGGTTGTCAAAAGTTCACTAGGACTCATCTGATTGCTTTTTATAAGTAGACATATCTATATGATACTTTATTGAGTACATGGTCTTATGTGATGATTTCATAATAATACAAGACCTTATTTGACCTTTTTCTCTTAATTTAAAAAGTGTTACTATCTCCGCCCCGAACTATAATGCGTTATTTAAAAAGAATTGAATTATGTGATTGCTCTAGACTTAACAAAATATGAATACAATAAGAATGAATTGCAAAAATATAAATATTAGTCGATATCATGTGAGACAAACTTAATGAGACGGGTGAAAAATGGAAAAAATTCCTTACGTATATTTTAATTTATAATTTGATTCCTTTTGGAAAAAATCATTTAAAATTTATCTTACCATCATGCATCTTGATCAATAGTCAGAGAAATTAAGATGGGAGCTCGAGAGGAATGGAGCAGGGCATAGAAAAAGACAAGATACACAAGGCGGGGAGAGGAGGTATATTGACTCGGACAACAAAAATGAAGATTTTGAGTATCTGGTGTGCTTAAGTAGAGGAACAAGTCATGAATTTGCAGCAGAGGATATGAATAACCAAATGAAGGAGGAGGAGGAAGCGGAGTTCTTGAATCTGGAGGAGCTAGGCGGCGGCGACCCTTTTGCCTCACCTGATCAGTGGTGCAGTCGCAGTCGAAGCAGCTTAAACAGCCCTTTTGATGACTCATCGTGTGGGCGTGAGCCTTCGGAATGGTGGGAGTTTTGAGCTTTTTAACACTACAAAAAAATTACAGGATTGACATTGATTTGACGTGGATTTACCGAAAATTTAGTGTCAAATAACTCGTGTCAAACTGTTTTTGGCACGGATTGGCATGTCCCTGCCAATTTTGGAAAAGCCCTGCCAAAAATCATTGTCAATCTCTGTTTTTTTGTAGTGTAAGTTTATTTGATCAACTAGCTAGTACTCTAGTAGTCTAGCTAGAGCTGCTTCAATCCTAGCAAGAGCTTCTGGAAAGTAATAAGCTTAATACACACAAACACACCAGTTAGGCCCTATTCTAGCTCGCTGCCTTGAATCCGAGTGTATGTACCCACCCCCATAGGTCATAGCTTAGCATGATGTTCTCTTCATTCCGTTTGATCAGCTCATTCTTGTTTTTTAGTTTTAGTTCATATATGAAGAAAACGATCTGTAGTTCTGTACTCACTGTACACGCCATTTACCACTCTTATTATATTTTGCCAGTATCATTAGCATTAATCATCCTAAACAAAGCAAAAGTTGACTATGATGAATGTTAAAATACTGAATAAATGGACTTGTAGAAAATATGTGATTATGGAATAATGGTTCAATTCACCCTAATAGGGTGACCGTAATAGGGTGTCCTGATGATATATTTAGAGGCCGTTTGGCACCACTATTTTTCAGTTTATCAGGCTTATCAGCCAACTTTTCCACCAAATACGTATCTTTTACTTTCACGCGCTGAATTGTGTAATAAGCAGAAAAAGTAAGGTTGGAGTTACTTTTCTGGCTGTTTTGGCTGAAGTTACTGTAGATGATCATTTTAGCTATTTTTACATATAATTTTTTCTTTATTTTATTAATAAAATGTGCGATTTTCCCTAAAATATATACTACGTATTAAAAACAAGTTTTTCTTAAATAAGCGGAATCAACCAATGCAGCCACTTCAGCCAGAACTTCATAAATTTTAACAGAATCAGCCAAAACAACCGATTTTCGTGTTACCAAATGGTCTCTTATAATAAATAGATAATAAGGAAATTATAAATATATCCCGATATTATAGATTATTGAGTTTTTTCCCTTTTCAGTCCCTCAACTATTGAGTCAGTGACACTTTTGGTACTCAACTTTCAATTTTTCCATTTTTAGAATTCGACTATTACAGTGCAAAAGACACTTTTAGTTCTCAATTTCAATGTTTTCCGCATTTAGTCCCTCAGTATTATAAAATTGACACTTTTAGTCCCCCCACTATGAATTTGATATAATAATTAAGTAGAAGATTAAAAATGTCACAATTATAATAGTTGAAGGACCAAAAGTGTCACTTTTATGAAAGTCGAAAGACTAAATGTGAAAATTTTCAAAGACAGGTATCAAAAGTGTTTGTCGCAAAATAGTCGAAGGACTAAAAGTGGAAAAACTCAAAGCCGAGTACTAAAAATGTCGGTGACATAATAGTCGAAAGACTAAAAGTAGCAAAAACTCATAGATTATCACATCCCGTCAATCTGTGTAGGGAAAAACAACGCGCAGATTGAAACGCAAAAACTTAAAACGCTAACTAGATAAATTTTTAGTAAAAGTGTCAGCTCATTGTAATTGAGTAGGAACATATTAGACCACAAGATTTCCGTGAAAAACATGTTCTCTGACAAAGTGATGATCAATTTTTACATGTTTGCTACGATTATGCTGAATAGGATTCACAACCAGATAAGAGGCAGAGACATTATCACAACGAAGCTGAATTGGACTAGAGAGTGTGATACCCATCTCAGCAATCTGGGAATGCATGAAAAGAGTGTCCTGGACGGTGTAAGCAATGACACGGTACTCAGCTTCAGTAGAGGATTTGGAAATTGTGGGCTGCTTCTTTGACGGCCAAGAAATTCGATTTGGACCGAGGAAAATAGCATAACCAGTAGTGGAACGACTGCTATCCAGACAACCAGCCCAATCAGCATCAAAATAGGCAACAATGAGAGAGATATCACGATTAGCCTAAAGTCATAACTCATACTCTGTAGTACCCTGCAAATATCTGTAAATACGATTCACAACCAAAAGGTGAGTGCTACGTGGAGCATGCATAAACTAGGAAACCAAATGTACATCATAAGTAATATCAATCCTAGTCAAAATAAAATATTGTAATGCATCTACCATACTACAATATTTGGTAACATGAGTGAGAAGTTCCACTCTCTAATAGAAAGAGTGGTACGCGAAAGCAAAGAGGTACCAAAGGACTTAGGGTTGGTTTGCAACTCATTTTAAAAAAGCACTTCTCAGTTTTTGGCTTTAAAAAACACTTATTTTCCCAAACACTACAACTTTTATTTTTCTCGGCTTCCGCGTCAAAAGTGCTTTTACTTTTTCTATTACACAAAAAACACTTATTTCACCAAAAACTACCCACTTTTACTTTCCAAAATCACTTTTTTCTCAAACACTATCAACTTTTATTTAATCATTTCTCCCCATTTCATTAAAAAAAGCACTTTTTTAAAAGTAGAACCTGTTGCAAACAGACCCTTAATAATATGAAGATGGAAACAGCATAACAAATCAAACCGGTACTTTACCATAATTTCCACATGAAACTCTTGGAAGTTGGAACCCACCGCCAGTATACACTCTACCAGTCTCTCCCTACACTGCCGTATCCGTATAAAACCCAAGGGAAATCAAACCGGTCGTCTTCGCAATGCCCATCGCAAGTCAACTACTATATGCTAACTTGCGCATATTACCTACCCCATCGCTTCCTCTCCTACGATCAACGCCGTCCGTTCCGTTGTCATTCGACGGTTTCCCCGCCTCATCTCTGTCCTGCTCCATTTGTACTAAAAGCTTGTCCTTAACAGAGAAGGGTATTAGACCGTTTGGATCTCGCACGAAAGCATCAATGGCTGATTTTGTTACTGGGGAGAGGAAGGCCAAAGTACAAGTGTTCGATTCCGAAGAGGAGTTAAAGGCGTCTTTGGCGAAATACACTTCCGATTTATCGGAGAAAATTTGCAAAGAGAGAGATTCCTTTTCCGTAGTTTTCTCCGGTGGGTCGCTCATCAAGTGTCTCGGGTAATGCACTAATCTTTCTCCCGCATCTACATTTCATTACTATCATCATTTCTATAATTATTGTTAAGTCTAATCAATGCCTGACCGTTTGGGTTTCAACTGCAGGAAATTGCTGGAACCTCCTTATGTTGACTCTGTAGACTGGTCGAAATGGCACATTTTCTGGGTGGATGAGCGTGTAGTTCCGAAGAATCATCCCGATAGCAATTACTTGCTGGCTTATGATGGTTTTCTATCAAAGGTATATTATATTGTGATTAAATCTTTGCAATTCGTGCGCCTGAGCAATCGGACAGCTTGTGGCACTTCCTGATTTCAAAGCATTCGTCTTTGGATAGTGCACAGTACCATGAAGAACCCAAAATGAATTTTAATGAAACAGCCATGATTAAGTTGCTATTCTATATTCTTTGGCTAGTGTGGATGATTGCTAGTACACTTGTTATATCTAAATGTGGATGATTGTATCGTTTTACATTATGCTCAGTCAGTCTCCAGTGTCTGTTTAGTTCCAGGAGGCCAGGACGGAATGGAGTTGAGTGGAAGGGAAGAGAGTACTAAGAAGATTAAGCCAATCTACCTACAGAATGTTTTAACTTAACAAGGGGGGAGATGGGAATCTACCCTACTTAATTCCCATCCCCTCCATTTGAACCGAACAATAACCAAAGAGTTAAGCTTTTTAAGGGGTTGAGATTAAGCAGTGCCCAGAGTCTCATAGTCAGACTAAGTCAGTATGTTTTACTCTTCATGTATGCCTCTCTTTAGGCAAAAAATAAACGGGAGAATTCCCGAAATAGGAGTAAATACGTTTGAAAATTCCAAAATAGGATTGTCATGTTATTCCTATTTTGGGAATAAAAACATGACAGTCCTATTTTGGAATATACGCACGTTTTTTAGCCCTATTTAGGGATCGTACACGAATTAATCTCAATAAATTGAATAATAAAGAATAACATGTATATTGATGGACAGAGAGCTTGAATACAAGAGAGTAAATGTGTTCGTGATCTAATTGATTGTGCCTTTAAAGCAATATGACCTACTCTATGTATACACCAAAAGCTTGTTACCTCCTTGTCTTAACTGTCCGTCAGTTTTTACTCCTCCATTGCATGCGGCCAACAGTTGGGAGCTGCCACTTCTATCTCCTCAATGATGTGTCCACAAGTTTTATCCGCTTCTTCTCCCAGATTGGGCGTCATGTATTTGCTTCATGTTTTGGGCCGAGCTGCTTATTAATTCATCCATTCACAAATTCCGGGTCCAACAGCCTCCTATTGACTAATGCGCTACTCTTTTTATTATTTATTTTACCCCCTCCATCTCTTCATCAGGTTCATGTTTTGGCTTTTCACGTTTCTTAATGAGCCAAAATTTTCCCATTTGACTTTCATGTTTTCCCTGATGATGTGTGGTTGGGAGTAATAGCTTTAGACCTTTAGTAGGTGAGTATTGAGGATATTAAACAAAGATAGAAATGTTGTTTATCAAAACGAAAAGAAAGACAGCTGTATTTAAAGTTATAAGCTGTATTTAGTATTTAGTCAATGTCATATAAGTTGGTTTTGGCTTAATTCTTATTGAGCTGATTACGTTAATAAGTTGAGAAGTGGTTGTTCCATAAGGGCACTATGTTGTGTCTATACCTGTATCACTGTATGCAGTGCGAGCTGGTAGTGAGGTATTACCACAAACGTAGAAATTATATATCAATGAGGCTTTGATGGATATCATCAGACTATTCCCAGAGAATTTTTAATTTGGGCATGGAATAAAAAATGAATTGGGAAGAGACCATTTTGGGTTTTGCCGTCTATAACACTTATTTTCAACAGCTCACACGTGGTTTTAGGAATGGAAAAATCACTTGGAAACCTTTTGGGGTGAAACACATGCGGGCAATGATCTACTTTAGGAACAAGAGGTTGGATAAACATAGTAATAGTATTGACTATTTGACTACAAGGCTATTCTGGTGTGTGTGCGTGTGTTATTGCAGAGAATTTAATAGTAGTTGATGGTGCTTGAAATTCATTTCAGAGATAATATATGCAGGTAAATGGAAAAGTAATGCCATATATAATCGGATGGAGGGGATTAAACGAAACCAAAGTCAAGTCTTTTACAGACCGGCTAATTTACAGAGTCAAACGGACCACAATGTAATATGCTGGGATAAGGAATAAAATTAAATTTGTGGAGTAGCTTAAGAGGTTACGTGAGCTTAAGGGCCACACAATACAGGGGGAATGGTGATGTAAACTTGACATTTAAGTTGACACCAAGCATGAGAATGCTATTTACATATGGGAAAGTGGAGGCTCGATCCTGTCCAGCCGGAGGGACGGCGGCCGTCGCCATTTGGGGCCCTTCCTGGTGGGTTTTTTTGTTGAATTTTTTTGAGCATGTTCTTCATGAAGTCTAGTTCATCCATACCAAATTTCAGCTAAAAATTTTATCTGAAATTTGGTAT